GGGGTGGGGGGAGGGGGGGTTCATATGGATTTTTATTTTTCCTCAATGTCCACACACTATTATTTAGTATCTCAAATGGCATTAGGTACTATTATGCGTATAACATGTAGTTACATGCACATGTTGTGTTGCTGGATCATTCTGTGGTCAATAAGTGTATTGAGTAACTTTATTATGAAATGTTCAGAAAATCGAGTCAAATTGTCATACTGCTGTTGTTGCAGATTGATGAGGAAATTCTTCAAGAAGTTGTTAAGATGAGATTTGATAGGAACCAACTAATTGAATATCTTCGCAACAGAGTACAAAATGAGGTACCATATTATTGGTTTGTGGATTGAAACCTCTGCTTTTCTAACATTCCAATTGATGGTCAAACTTGTTACAAATTTTCAGGCAACTGTTGCATACTACTTGCTGTTGGACAACAGGTTTCGTGTTTCAAGTGGTTACCTCGGAGCAGAGTTTCAGGAATCCATGGTCTGTTTTCTTGTTAAAGTTGTAATATGGTGCTCTAATTCATGTAGGAATTTTCTTTTTCATAATAGTTTACTTTGAAGCTAGACTTTTCTGTATGCTCTACACTCTACAGAAGGGATACCACATCGTGGGTATGATATGAATCACATTTCCTTATGCTGTTGTTCTGCTTCTGCCTAAAGATTCCTGCTCCAAAACTTTGACCTTACCAGTTGATCACAAGTCTTGGTTTATGGGTTTTTTGCCTCTCTGCAAGTACAATTAGATCTTTTATCTAGTTTGTCCAATCTAAGATGATCACGGTGCCTTCATCATCCAGACTCATTTAGAATGCATGCATCAGTGGGGTGTTAATTAGAATGTGACGGTGAATACATCTATTGAAGTTATAAAATGATCTTATTTCTGTCTTTATTGTAGACTCCCTGTGTTTGAGTATAAATTCTAGATGGTGCATTTCGTGATTTTGAATGTCAAAGGAAATTGATACAACTGTTGTGATTTCCAGATGCCCCACAAGTCTAACCCATGTTCCCATCAAATAGCATATTCTACCTCATGCATGTTCATCACTTTTAAACCATGCCATTTGAAGACCGTTGGTCTAATATTTCTTTTGGTAGCTTATCATCTTTTTTCTGATATGTATTCAGTTCAAGTCCCACTGTGATGCTGGAAAGGCATGATACCTAAAAAACTGACAACAAATCAACTGGTATCATAAAAGTAGTAACCAATCTTTTTTTTTTTTTTTGGTATTGACTTATTCCAGTATCATGCCCCTTCCTGCACCATAGAAATTGCCAAGTTTAAAGTAGTATTTTTATTTATTGAGATTTTATTGCTTAATTTTCCAGGAATGTGGTTTCACTCGCATGCATCCAGGTGAAGTTGCAACTTCACCCATTGGGCACCGCCTTCCAGGATACATGGATCATCCAGGAATTGGTTTAAGACCCCAATTCCCAGTCGAAAGGAAATGGGCTCTTGGGCTTCAGGTTGAACTTGCTTTCTTTTGGATCTTACTTCAGGATGAGAGGATGTGAACAGGCATCCACCCTGCTATACATGTGATATAGTTTTCAATTACTATATACATGATGCTCACATATAACTGAGTGAAAATCGTATCAGTTATTGTCTCAACTTGAAAATACTGTCTAAATATTTACTTTTTAGACCAGTGCATTCTAATTGCTCACCATTTTAACGAATATAATAACTTAGATGGGCAAGACCAGTAGATGGTCCCAGAAAGCTCACTAGCTAGCGCAGCCACTTGAGTTAATGGCTTGGTGATTAATGTCATATCATCCTTTCATCCTGAACTGAGCTCTCTTCTTTGTATTGAAATTCAATTAGATACTAATTTGTTACTGATGTTACTCAAAAGTCTCGAGCCCACCCTCGTGAAATAATGACAGAGGTTCTCAAAGCTTTGCAAGAACTTAATGTGGCTTGGAAGAAGATTGGGCACTACAACATGAAGTGCAGATGGTTTCCTGGCTTTCCTAAGCATGAAGGCATGGTCAACAGTGGGGCACGTGGTAACCATTACTTTGGAGATGAATCTTCCATTACCGAGAATGATGGTGTGATTAGGTCACCAAATGTGGTCAAGTTTGAGTTACAGGTCTGTTGGTCTTTTCATTCTTGTACTCGCTAGTACAATGTCATACCTGTTTTATTTATTCAAAACTTTTGGGATAATTTTCTATATTTATGTGGAATGAGAAAATTTAGGACATGTCATCTGGAATCTTAGTGATGGGCTAGTGTGAGCGTATAGCAGTTTGTGTAGTTCATAAAAGGGATTGCCAGAGAAATCACTGGATGGTTCTAATCCCCTGTTCACAGTGCTAGATTTGATGTTCTAATTATCTTTTGAAAACATTTAGTTTTTTCATTTGCTTCCGGTGATGCTAAAAAACTTGGTTATGGGTCACTTCAAAAGTATTTAATTGATGCAATTGGCCATGCAAAATTGTAAATAAAGACTACTAACTAGTCCAGGGTTGAGTTCAAAATATACAAAAAATAATAAATTTAAAAACAAAGTCTGCTGGTTTTGCTTAGCAGTTTCCCAATTTTTTTGCTATTGACGGGTTTCTTTGTTGTGTCTATGTGAACAGCTCTACAAGACTCGAGAGGAAAAGTATCTTCTTGACCTACAAAGAGTGAACGGACCTCAGTTTCTGTTCCTGGATCTTTGTGCTGCTTTCCTTGCTCAGCTTCGGGTTCTCTAATGCGGCCTTAACACAGGAAAAGTTCGTCCATGAAGGTCTCGTAATGGTTGTGAATAAGGACTTCACTGTACATACTAACTTTTAGAATTCTGTGCTGGGTTTTTCTGTTCCTTTTTTTCCTTGAACGATGGGCATTGTTCTTTAGTCTGGCCCATATTTCATCATTGTGGCGCAGGGGCGCTCCTAATTAATTCTTTTGGTTGATGAGTAATGGGAGCATGGCCTTTATATGGTCGGCCTTTTTCACTTGAACTGCGGTTACTCTAGCTTCAACTATAAATGAGCTATGGGGAACCTCTTGAATTTGTACGAATGAACTAATCTGCCTGAAATTATGTTTGATGTTTAAAATCACTGCTTTCCACAGCTTTCTTGGGATTTTGTTCTCTGATTCTTTCGGTTCATACTGCAAGCATGAAATGAAATCTCAGCTTGTGGCCTTGTGCTAAAGTCACAAGCTACAACTGAAATGTCTTTTGTTGTATAATTGGTTTAAGACCTTCAATAAATCAAGCAGCCTTTTGTGTACCTTGCATTACAATGCTGGTATTACTAAAACCAGTATTTATTATAATCATGTGGAAGCCGGAAGGAATCGAGTCCAAATTAGTTGCTTTATTTTCGACCATGTCCTAATAGCTTGCTTCCCAGCTCAATTTTTCTCCATCTGAATGATCCTACCAAGTGGCACCTCGTCCCTTTAGTTTGCAACAGACCGTCGTCACTTTCTTATCTTTTTGCTGCCTCTGCAAACTCTAAGAACTCCACATTATGAATCCAATCAACAAAATCTTCAATGTACAGCTGTACATTGAAAGTTGACGTCCCTGTCTTCATTTTATAATCTCTATCACCATTATTTCTCTTATGCTGTTGTCTACCATCCATTAGCTTCCCATTGCTGCTGTATTAAGGGCTATTCTTTCTCCTATGTTGCTTTAAATATCGTTCTATCCAGGGCTATAATTTCTCCTATGTCGTTTTCCCCCCTTTTTTATGTGTTTTTACTTGGCGGCTTGATATTTGGAAGTGGAAGTAAGCCAATGAGACTACACTTCTCAAGTAACACTTTTTCTTAACCCAGAATTTAATAATTCCTTGGTTCACCAATTTGTTTAGATTCAATGGTCCCACTCCCATGATGTCCCATCGCATGGATGATGGATGTTTATAGTGAATCTTTGAGTAGGTTTGCAAATGGTTTATGTTCGTCCCAATTCATATCCAGGATTATCCGAATTTGATCCCTTTATAATTGCTTGGATTATATACAGATTCATTCCAATCTTATCCAATAATATTTAAATATATATAGTTTTTTAAGGTGAAGCTTAAAAACAAAGGAAGAAGAAAGGAGGAAAAGAAGAGAAAAAGAAGAAATGTTATGAAGGTGTGCCTTGAGTTATTGCTCACTACAGAGACTAAAAATTAATAATGTCGTTGAAAGTAAAAGTTTGTCCTTACTTGGGTGCCCAAATACAAAGAGTTAATGAAAAAACCCAAAAAAGTGAGTTCATCATATTGCATATTCTCGATACAAGATAATGAGATATTGCTTCTTGCTTGTCCAAGATATCACATTGCCCCCAACTAAGGCACAATAACTAGAAATAGATCTGTTGTCCATTGACCCTGACCAACATACATTTGTCTAGGCCTCAATCTTCAAATTCCCATGATTAAAGTATAATATTCCTTTGTCAGGACAACCCTTCAAGTAAGCGAGAATCCTATTGATAGTTTGCATGTGAGGTTCTGTGCTAATGCATATACTGATTAACCACACTGACTACATGGGATATATTTAGTCTGGTCAAACATAGATAGAGAAGACAACCAACCAATTTTTGATAGACCTCTATCTAGAAGAACATCTCTATTTGTGGCATTCAACTTGTGGTTAGGGTTAGTTGGGGTTCCAACTGGTTTACACCCCAATTTTCCAACATCTTGGAGCAAGTCAAGAACCTATTTTTTTTTATGAATGAAAATATTCTTCTTTAATCTTGCTACTTCAATTCCCAAAAAGTATTTAAGATCACCAATGTCCTTGATTTCAAACTCAAAAGCATGAAAAGATTTCAACTAAGAATTTCTAGAAATGTCATCTCCAGTCAAAACAATATCATTTACATAAACTATTAGCATAGTCACCCAACCATCATGCCTTCCTAAGAACAAAGTATGATCAACTTAAGATTGAGAGAACCCAACTATCAAGATTACTCTTCTGAATCTATCAAACCAAGCTCAGCTCTAGGAGATTGTCTAAGTCCATAGAGAGACTTATTTAAGCAACAAACATCCCTCACTATTAGGAAGGCTCACTCCTAGTGGTAGGTCCATATTATACATTTCCTCCTATAGGTCTCCATTAAGAAAGTTCACATACATCTTATATAAAGGCCAAGAGAAGTGTGCCGCAAGAGACAAAATCATACAGATTGAACTCGTTTTAGTCATTGAAACAAATGTTTCCTAATAATCAATGCCATAAGACTAGGTACTATGCCTTAGCATCTTTCAATAGGGTTCCAGCCACTGAGCCTTTAATCTGGGGAAAAAATTGTGGAATGAAATCTAGAAAACAAAAATTGACCTAAAAATCAAGAATTTTATTTGGAAGTATTCTCAACATGCCCTGGCTGTGCGGGAAAATCTCTATAAAAGGAAACTCTCAAATGACAGTCTATGTCCTATTTGTAATCAACAACCTGAAACTGTAATGCATTGCCTTGCCTATTTGAATGTGATCGTGCAAAAGCTGCCTGGTTTGGCTCTCATCTAAGTTTTATGGGAGGGAGAGTTGGAACAAATATATCATTTATATAATATTTGGTTTCTAAACTGGGTTGAGTTATGTCTAACAAAGAGAGATAGAAAAGAAGATTTATTGGCTTTTTCTTTTATGCTTTTATGGAATATATGAAAATCTAGAAACAGGAAAATTTTTTAGAATATTGACCCATCTCCTAAAGTCACTCTTGCAACTTCTTATAGGATGTGGAGGGAGAGACTGATGACTTCCCAAGTAGGATTGCCAGATTCTTCACATCAACATCCAAACTTGAGTGAGGGAAGATCCTCTTTTTGGAAAGCGCCAGATCCAAGGAAGCTCAAATTAAATGTGGATGGGAGTTTTGTGTGTCCTAGTAGATCAGGTTTTGGAGAAGTGCTAAGGAATGAAAATGGTGCAATCATAGCTGCAGTTTTTGGCAAATCTACAGCATCTTCCCCCATACAGGCAGAAGCAATGGTGATTCTCAATAGCCTGGAGGTTTTGAGCATGTACAAAGAAGAAGATATTGAAGTAGAATCGGACTGTCAAATTTTGGTGCAGGCGCTTAAATCAGGAAACTTGGAAGTAGTTTCGGATGCAAACTTTCTATGTTTAGATATAAAATTACTGACTGATGATCTAGCAATTTCTTTTGGTTATGTAAATAGGTTTTGTAATGTTTCAGCTCACTTGTTGGCTAAGAAGGGTCTACAGGAGTCTGGGTTGTTTGTCCATGATCCACCAGAATGGATACAAGATTTGGCCAACCTAGACTTAAATAGACCTTAACTGTTGATGTTTTTTGTATCTCATGACTTTTCTATCTTAATGAATTCGTCTTGCTAATTTTCTATCAAAAAAAAAAGCGTGTCTTATATCTTTTAAAAAAGCCATCAACCTTGTGTTTGACTGTATACATCTACTTACATCAAACCGTAGATTTATCCTTAGGAAGAGAAACAAGCTCCCAAGTCCGATTCTTTATAAGGGCATCCATCTCCAAGTTCATAGCTTCTTTCCAATGAGGTGATAGCATTGTCTCTGTAACACTATGAGGAATAGAAACAGAAGAGATAGCTGAGATATAGACACAACAAAAGGGTGAGAGAGCATCATAAGAAACATAACTGGTGATGAAATACTTGGTGCACTTTCTCTTTCCTTTGTGAATGGCAATGGGAAGATCAAGGTCAAGATCAATGGTGATAGGAGCATCAATAGGTTCAAGAGGAGTAGGATCAAGGTTACATGTGTTCGAGTATTCAGACTGTAATGGACTTTAGCATTAGGAGCCACCTTTTTCTACTACCTAATCAAATCTATTCTGAGGACAATACACAAGAAGGGGAAGAGGAGGTGAAGGAATGGTGGTAGAAGATGGATTGGAAGTAGAAGATGAATCTAGAATAGGAAGATAAAAGAGAGTTTGATCTTCAATGACATTCTCCCCCCGAAGAGAATGACAAGATGACTAAAAAAAGTGGAGGACTCAATGAATGTAAGATCCTTAGAAACATATCTCCCTCCAAATTAAGGATCAAAGCAGCACTATCCTTTCTAAATAGGAGAATAACCTAGGAAAACACATCTGATAGACTTAGGATCAAATTTGTGTCTACAGGGACTCATATCATGAACAAAGCAAACACAACTAGAGACCCTAAGAGGGAAACTAAAAGGTGGTTCATCAGGAAAAAGGAGTTGATGAGGAGATTGAAGTTTGAGGCTCCTTGATGGAAGTTGATTAATGAGGTACACAACTGGCTCAACAGCATCTCTCCAAAGGCAAGTGAGAACATGAGTCTGAAACAACCCTTTAGCAACTTCAACAACATGTTTATTCTTTCTCTCAACAACCCCATTTTGTTGTAGAGCACAAGTGCATGAATTCAAATGGATAGCATCAATCCAATGGTGGTCTAATGTTAGCAGGTTGCCTCTAGGGTAATAAACACCAACAGAAGCCTGCCTTGAATCCAGATGAGATTTGATACCAAGTTGTTTAAGATGAAGCCTATAAAAACAAAGGAAGAAGAACAGAAATGAGGAGAAGGGAGAAGAAGGGAGAAGAAGAGAAGAAGAATTTTTACGAAAGTGTCTCGAGTTACTATTCACACTAGAGACTAAAAGTTTATAATGTTGCTAAAATCGAAATACAAAGAGGAAATGAAAAAACCCAAAAAAAAAACCCTTCCATTATATTGCATATTCTTAACTTTTATATATACTAGTAATTAAGCACGTGTGTTGCACGTGAGAATTTTTTCTTCATATTAATTACTTGAATTTTAGATACACTATAGTTAAGATAGAAATTGAAAATTAACAAAAGTAACAATATGATTAAAACTGAACTAAAATGCTTGTTGTAAATGTGCATGTGCGTTGCACATGGGAATTTTAAATTATAATAACACTTATTTTTATTTTTATTTTATTATTATTATTATTATTATTATTATTATTATTATTATTATTATTATTATTATTATTGAGTTTTTGTATTCCATTTATATCATAAATAAAAATAATTTTTATTTTAACAATTATGTTTATTTAATATGATGAATGTAAAACATTAGAAATGTTTCCAAATGTTTTCGACAAAATTTTACACTTTTTATTTTTTGTGTTCTATCTTTTTTTTAAATATTTATTATTCAATTATGACATCTTGAGTTTCTTTGAAAAGTTGGACCATTGACCCACCATCTAAATAAGAAAATAGTTTTAATTTTGGATTAGTTTTAAGTAATATATTTCATCTACATTATATAAATAATTTCTACTTATCATACTTAATTTTCGTTTGGCATAATTAATATATAATTCTTTATATATTCTTTTGATTACTTATACTTTTTTATTTTTTAAAAGATGTATTATTTAGCTATCATATCATCGACTATTCCATTTGATCCAAACCACTAACCCACCACCCAAAAAGAAAAATAGTTTGATTTCTATGTTGACATTATATTTTGTATTACATTTCCATCTTTGATAAAATTATTTCTTATGTATAATACTTATTTTTTGTTCAATATAATGAATGTATAACATTAGATATGTACCCAATATTTTATTTATTTTTATAAATACGTAACATTAGATATGTGCCCAAATGTTTCTTTATTTTTTATTTTTGTGATTCTTTGTATATTGAATATACAATATTAGAGATATGCCCAATTATTTTTGTTTGTATTTGTATTATATATTTAACTTATTTTATTATTTAATTATGATATTATTTATTAACCCATTTAACCTAATATGGTAGAATTGCTTACCCACCACCGGGAGGGAAGAAATGGTTTTGTTTTTAAATTCCTTTTTTAAAATATTTATTTTCATACTATTAAAATTAATGTTATGGATTTAATTAGTAGAATTTAATGATGAGAAAAATATATCTTAGATATAGAATTTAATGAGAGAATATACCTTAGATATGAGATCTAATGAGTGAAAATAGGAAAATAGTTTTATTTCCAATTAGTTTTAAATTTTACATTCCATTTCCATCGCTAATAAAACCATTTCTTATTTATCATACTTATTCTTGTTTACTATGTCGAATATATGATGTTAAAAATTTTCCCATTTTTTGCATTTTATCTATTTTTGAATTTTATTATTTAATTGTGACAACATGGATTGTCCCATTTGACCCAAAATGATTTAATTTCTTACCACCACCTAGATGAAAACACTTTTTTTAAGGTCTATTTTAAAGTATAAGTTTTTGTGTTATTGAAAATATTAATTTATTATATATAGATTTAATTAATAGAATTTAATGATGAGAAAAAACAAAAATTCCCTAAATATATGATTCAATGAAGGTGAGTGCAAGTTAATACCGTAAATGTTGGATTTAATGAGAAGGAATTGAATACATTGAATATCTTAAAATTACCTCTTTTCAATTCATTTAATATCAATAACCAATTACCCTATTTGCCTCTTTTTTATCAATAAATTTAAATATTAAGGGGTAAATTTTATCCTCAAAAAAATTCAGAAATATTATTGAGGCTATTCGTACTTTTTAAAGTAGTATAAATTTATATTTATATGTATTTTATATCAAGATCATTTCTATTTCATTTTATCAATAAATATGTAATATTCTGATCACTTTTAGTTTAATCTATCGATGGTACATGATAGTATTTTGGAAATGAAAAAAGGGGCTGAGTTTATTTATGGTAAGGACTGAGGAGGATGCATCTAAGAGCTTACTCAAATACATGAAATTTATAAAATATGACATGATATCTATATATAAAAATTATATGCTGGTTCTTAATAGCATTTACTTATAATCTTCAACAACTCAGAATATCCTTCAACCATGATTATTAGTAGGGACCAGGTTTTGGTTGGACCCGTTTGAATCAAAACCAATTTGAATGGGTTGGACAGTCCTATAGCTATAAGACATTGAATTGGACCAGTCCAGACTTAATGGTCAAAGTATTTATTGGATTTGATTGGACCTTGTCCATCTGTAATGGATTTATATTGGATCAAGTCGAGCTGAACCAATATTGACACAAGAATAGGGCTGTCAATTGACCAGGTTTGGATTGGATACAATCCAAATTAAAACCAATTTGAACAGATTGGATGGTCCAGCCGTCCAATAAGACATTGAATTTGACAAGTCCAATCCAAAATATTTATCTGACTGATTGGACCTGGTCTATCTACAAAGGACTCATGTTGAACCGGATCAGATTGGACCAATATCCAGTTCATTGATAGCCCTAATTATTTATTAGTTATTAAAAGATCAACCTTGTGCAACTCTGAATTAGTTGGCGTTATTTTAGTTAAGAGCCATCCAATGGTGGGTCCCATTTCTTGATACATAGGACAGATGGAGTCCCAGACCCCACTTAGGGGTCATGGCTCTGAAGGCCCAATACATTGCCTTCCAAGAGATGTACAGGTGTTTTTCCCCCCTTTTTGGTTTTTTCTTCTGCCTTCTGGCTTTGAGAAAATCCACTTTCTTAGCAATTTTTCTCCGCAACAAACGTCATAAAAAGCAAATGGTTATACGGATTACAGAAAGGTGATCCAACGACAGCGCCCTCGTTGAATGGAATCCCCTGGTCCCCAAATACATCATCCACAAAAAGGTCAAAGAAAAAGTCTAATAAGACCCTCTAGCTCCCATTCATATTCAATCCACCACTAAATTTATATATTGATAGTTTGGTACATGTAGAAAATCAGAAAAAATGGATTCCATCACCAAGATGGAAGAATAGGAGATGATTTACTAATATGTGACTATCTAGCAACCATCAAAATTACATAATCCAACATACTTTTTTCGTCATTATTAGGCAAGACCAAGACTATGAAAATCAAATTATTCCAAAGTCTATAGCTTCCTTTGTTGGGACTTGAGTTCTTTCACCCTCTCTTCTGTAGCTCTCAAGGCATCTCCATAAATGCTTATTAACTGAAAAGGACAGAAGTTTTAGTTAATATTTCCATCAAAGCCTAGGTGAAAATCTTACAAACATTATTATATATATGTACCAACGCAACCCACGGCTGGACTGATGAGCATGAACTGTCTGATAAAAACAAGATAAACAAAAAAAAAAATATACAATTATGCAATCTGAAATATTTTGTACAAAACCCAGTTTTCAATAGGAGCTTCAGTCAATCATTCCAAGCATATGATGCAGGCTTTCCATTCACAGGAATGTGAAGTATTTGGAAGTCAAATCCGATACAGATTCATCATCAATCAAAAAGCTGATATAGATTGGGTTTTTAGTGTTTTGTTACACCATATTAATAGAGTCCAGTGGACCAGTTCTATAGTCTCTTCTTCCTGCCGTGGTTCCAGTTAACTGTATGAGAGGCAGAAATATTTTTTTTTTATTACACCTTATTAATAGTCCAGTGCTATAGCCTCTTCTTCCTGGCTATGGTTCCAGTTGTTTAACTGTTAGAGAAGCAGAAAATTTTTCAATCTGGAATATCAGTAATATGTGTTAGCTTTTTATGGTAAACCTTTGTTTTCCTCTCCTTTTACATGAAAACAAATGCAGCCTACAGTGTTTATGTAGCTATGAATTTAAACCAGGTAGTTCGTGTCTTAGCAAATTGAGTTGTATGGATGTTCTGTGGATGAAGTCTCATTTTGTAAATGACGCCCCTCCCCCTCTCTTGGTTTGCCCTGTGGTCAAAGAAGAAAAACTATCTGTTCTTCCCTTTGTTGTTTTACTGAAACATTGGCTTACCAAAAAATAGGAGAAAATCCTCCATAAACTACAACTTCTTTGATAATAAATGACACTACAGCCAAGTTTGTTTCGACAAGTATTGTAGAAATCATCAAGAAGATTTTTAGTTTCACCTTTTTCACTAATAAAGATGTCCTTAAATAGTGGTAAATTTTCTCTTTTACTTTTCATCAACCAACAAAAATATATCAATCATACCTCATCGATTTCTTCTGGAGTGATAATTAATGGAGGGGACATCATTATGTTATCACCTGCAACTCTCACTAACATCCCACGCTTCTCGCACTGTGCCCCAAAATATGCACCAATGCCTGCCACAGCATATCAACAAACAATTAGAAAAGAACACACAAGTAAAGATATTAAGAGAATGTCACATATTCTGACACAAATCAGCTACTCAAACAAAGCATAGGCCAAGAGAAGCACGTTAAGAGAAAAAGAAATAACAAGAAACAATCATTGATAGCTACACCTCCCATCCCAAAACATCTAATGCTATTTTATGACTGCAATCATCATGGTTCGAGCTATTGCAGCCAATTGTGCAGCTAACAAAGTTACTGCAAGCTAAGCAGAAAATTTCTACAAAAAGACACGATTAAGGTGCTCCAACTGATGAATTTCTTGCGTATAGGTCTCCTAATTTGGATGGTTGATATTCCCTTGAAATCATCTCTTGTTATAGATGTTCTCTTTTCTATTATAATGGGAAGTTTCATGTGAGATTCTCTTTTTTTATAGTTTCCACAATAAATGCATCCTTTTATTTAGAATATCAGATAGCAGATAAATATGGAACTTACCCCATTCAGGAGGGAATAAATCATTAGGTGACTTATTGTCGGTGAACTCGGTTCCAAGAATCAATCCAGTTCCTCGAATCTGCACAATCAAGTGATCCATAAAATTTTATTAAAGACAAATAATCTTCATCAGCTACCACGCATTTAAAAACAAGAGGCATGGAATACCTCCCCAATAATAGGACTGTCAGAAAAGGCTTTTAATCCATTCTGAAACTTTGGAGAAACACTCTTGACATATTCGGCAATATTTTTTTCCCTGGAGACAAGGAATAAAGTTTTAGAACACTGTTTTTGTTTGACACTCACAGAGATATGTACAGTAAGCATACTTGTAAAGTTTGAGTGCTTCCACTGCAACTGCACACGACACTGGGTGCCCAGAATAGGTAAATCCATGAGAAAAGGAACCTGAAAATAACAAAATTAGGAACAATACTCAACAGAATTAAAAAAGAAAAGAAGCAAAAGAACAAAAAAAAAAGATGAGAAGGTTTCCATCAACACAATTGGATTATCACATACATACCAAGCTTGTTACTTTGAGAGTGTATGACTTCTGAAATTTCAGGGCTCACAAGAACTGCACCAATGGGCATGTATGCAGACGAAAGAGCCTGAAAATCCAATTTGAAAGGGCTCAAGGAAATTGAATTATTGCATTATGTGATATATGCATGAAAAGTCCAAATTCAGCAGAACTTATAAAATCTTACCTTGGCAACGGAAACAAGGTCCGGAGTAATATTATATTTGTCACACCCAAACATTGTCCCTAGCCTTCCAAAGGCACATATTACCTAAAATAACAAGTTTGAAGTAAATACAACACCAGTTCTAAGGCAAGGTCGCAAGGACTGAAAGAGAAAGCTTTGAATTCAGATAAAATGCAAATCCGAACAACAAGATTCTAAAATACCTCATCTGCAATGAAGAGAATGTCATATTTTTTCACTACTGCTTGAACCTACATCATAAGAAATGAAACAAGTTAATAAGAAATCACATATAAAAAAAAAACAAAAAAGACAAACAGAGAAGCTACCATATAAACAAGGAAAATCCAGAAGGAAGATACACAGAAAAAAATGAATAATCAAATTAAATAACCAAGCACATTAACTATGACACTAATTTAACCACCATATCATAAGAGTCCCTAACCAAAGCTTTCTCCCAACAAAAGGTAACAGACTAGAAAGTCCCACACCACCAATCCCTTTACAACATACAATTAAAACCAAAGACCCTTGATATGATTCAAAACACCAACTACTATTCATTATAGACCCATAAGATTGTTTAGAAGATACCTAGGCCTATGGAACCAGTCGTTTTGTCAGAATATATTGACTAACCATTAGCTCTAATACCAATTTCATTGTAGGACCGGAGTGACCAAGGATACATCTACAAGGGTAATGATGGGTGGTTAAGAAGGGATTGGGATGATTTTAGGACTAAAAATAGAAACCGATTGGGTTAGGAAAGGTCTCAAGGCCAGGGCTGCAACTTGGGCCAAGTTAGCCCAAAGCCCCGAAAACACCCCAAAAAAGGTTGGGTTGGGTCAGAAGTTTGGGTTAAAGTTAGGTATGAAAATTTTGAACCCAACTTAACTTCAGGTTGGATTAGGGTTGAGACCTCATATTTGTATGTTTAATATCATATAAATATGTATTTATGCATGTGCATGTTTATGTATGTAAGCAACTGCATCCATGAATGTATACATCTATATATTTACTCATTACTTGTGTGTGTATCAAAAATCTTAAGTTTAAAGAAAAAAAAATCCTGGTGCCACAATTATGTCCTTATACATATGATAATGCTAAGCTGAGTTAACCTTAATCTGCTAATCTTAAATTTAAGAAATTAGAAGATTTTAGGAAAAAAAAGAAGTTAAGAAATCAGGCCAACCAAAACCCAACCTAGGTCAGGGGTGGGGATTCAACAACTAGAGTTAAGGTTGACCTCAACTTCACCAAACCAAAACCCAACCTTGTCTTGGGTCAATTTCAATCCTTCAGAGATGTTGAATGAAAATTTTGTGTGTTGTTTATGGCTGTTATTACTGCTTGCATAATTAGAAAGAAGTAGAGAGTAGAAAAACCTGGAACCACTCAAAAGGGTGCCTTTACTCAGTGTAAGGCATGGGAAACACTCATCGCTCTTAGCAATAGACTATTAGAATTCAAACTTTAATTCATTTTTCATGTTTTTACACCTTAAACATGTATAGACACAATTAGAGTGGTCAATCCTAATAGAACTAAGGGAAAATAAAATTACAGAATTGCCACTGTCTTAGAAAACGTTTTCAGCAAAAGGTTAAGTAGTATTATATTCATCATGTAAAACATCATATACAAAACATGTACAGTGAGTTACTATACATTTCTTCCAGCAAACATCATATGGCTTGGAGGATATCTTTAAGAAAACAAAACATCAAAATCAAAAGAATTGTGTGGTATACCTTTGAACTTCTCATGAGTGGATATCGAACAAGGGTGTCATGTCATGTCAGACATATTGAGGTAACATAGACTTATACATTATGTTTGCATCTGAACTGTGGAAAAATACATGACAGGATTTCTGTACAATGCATGTATGTGTTTGTATATCTTTTACCATATAATCATTGCACTACATGTGTGCATGACATCAAGAAAATGATGTATGCAGATATATATGGACCTCTATGCATATCTAACAAACATGTTAAGGGTTATGTATTTCTTCGTGTGAATGTATGCACATATGGCTCTGTAAATAAGTCATACTGCTTTCCAGAGATGACAACAGCAGGTGAGGAATTTCCAACCTTTCATGATTTTGATACCTCACCTTCTCAAAATAAGTTGCAGGGGGAGGGATGACACCACCAGCACCCATGACAGGTTCAGCAATGAATGCAGCAATCTGACAAGCACAGATGCTAGGTCAGTAACAGAAACATCCCATGTAAATTATTCAATAACTCATTAAGGTTAGGTAATATCTGAAGAAACTACCGTCTCAGGTCCCTCCTTTAGGATAAGATTCTCTAGATTTTTTGCTAATCTGGTTGAGAATTCCTCCTCCGTTTCACCTAGCACACAAGTTAGCATGTCTTCAATGGTAAAAACCAAAATATTAGAAAAAGAAAATGTCAGACTTCTAATGAGTAAAATACAAACCTGGTAAATGAAAACGCCAGTAATGTGGGCAGTCAGTATGCAATACAAATGGTGCAGGGAGATCAAATTTCTGATGCAGAGCAGGAAGGCTGCAAAAAATCCTTAATCAGTTTCTTTTTATGAACAAAATTGCCTAGTCAGTTCAAAGTTCTTATTTCTAATACTGATTCTATTTTTTTATTTGAGAAAATCAATCAAGGAACATAAAATGAGCAATAGACCAAAAAAATGCCAAACATATCATGTAAAGGTTAAATCCCAGCAATAAGAATGTACCCAGTGATAAATAAGTTAACAGATTTAGTAGCAGACATTACATTAGCAATATTGCCTTTTTAACTACTTACCCAGAAAGACTAGCTGATATTAGAGTTGATCCATGGTATCTGTAATAATGCAAAACAATATAGGAAATTAGGAATTACTTCAATTATTTATATGCTATTAGAAAATATAAATTAGTTGGTCAGCCAAGAATATACGATTTTGCCCGTGCTATAAATTTCTTTTTGTTTGGCCTTCCAAGCGCATTGTTATAATACCAAACTAGCTTCACCTACAAAAAATAAACCAATGCAAAAGAATGAAGAAATTATAATTTGGAGTCAGAATATAAAAGGTCTATAATAAGTGCATCAATATGAAAATGATTCTTTAATATTCCTGAAATACAATTTGGCTGAACCATGTTACTCAGCCCACTGCCCACCTACTGATTTTGAAGTCAAATCAGTTCTACAGAACAAAACTGTAGATACCATATTTCAATTCAATAATTCAAATGACAACTGGGATTATTCTACCCCCAAGTGACATATTAAAACTGAATATTAGTGAAGTTCAAGCTTTTTTAACTCCCATTGCCACCTGCACTTCTTTTAAGAATAACTCTAAATGTAATATCTTGGATGTGTTACAATGGGCTTCTATGATATGACTCCACCTTCATAAAAAGGAGAAAAGAAAGTTTTCATATATAATGGGTAAACCTGAGTATCATTAGCTTCTGATCCACTATTAGTAAAGAAGACTTTTCCCATTTTCCTTGCTGTAAAGATCTCAAGGATATCCTTTGCAAGATCCTGTACAGAGAAGCAACACAAATGAACGATCCAGATTTATCTGGGATAATCCCTAAATACCCAAGAAAGAAATATGAGATTCAAATAATTGTGCAACCAGTCATCCAATACCCAAGAGAAATGTTGATACTATAGAAGACGATGCAAAAAAGAAGTAAGCATTGTTATCTATTTAACAATGACACCAACATTAATTTTGGTCTCCTCTATGTGACACTGCCAATGTGGAAGAAAATTAGTAAATATACACACATTTCATTTTAAATGCCTTGAGACATGTTCTTTGAAAAACATAGTCCATGTAATTGTGAAACATAAGAGGAATGTTTTAGAGATTTTATGGGTATGAAGTTATCTTTTGATATTTGGTGTACAAGAAAAAATTATGTAAATGGTATATAATTTATACTTGAAAACAATTGATCAAAAAAAAATATACTTGAAAGCATGAGATATTTTCTAAGGTAGATAAATTTATAGTTGCCAACAAGAGATATATGTAAACTTAAGTTGTTCGTGTTGCTAATAAAAAGTGTCTGCATGTCTATGCAATTTTTTTATAGAATGCACATCTATGCTACTCGAATAAATACAATAGTCTGACAAGGCCAAATTGCAACATGGTTTATTACTAACACAAGAAAACAGGGATTAATACAAGAGAAAGGTGCCAAACTTCTTGAAATAATAATATAAAGTGGCCTCTTTCTCCAGTAGGCTATACAACCTCCTCCATGGTTCCTTTCAACCATTTAGTGGATTCTGTAAGAGTAACTAATCTCTCCATATTATTCATTTTAGGTGAAAATTTGCCACCAAAAATGTTACAGTGTTGATCAGTTTGCACCACGATTAAGGTTAGATAAGCCCCTCCAATTTCACATCCATTGCTTGTAGATGATTGGTTTCTTTTGTACAGGGCACCTCTATCCAAAACAAGTAATGTCAATGTCACAGATACATCTAAGCCATTTGGTGATATCTTAGGCCATCTGGTGAATTTTCAGGGATCAGCCACAAATGCTAGCTCAAAAATATCCTACTGACATAAAAGTCAACTTCGTGCAATATCATGTGAAGAACCATCTAAAAATATCTGGGTGACCTAATTTTGTGGCCACAGGAAATGACAGAAGCTTCCAAACCTCATGTCTAGTAGACACAACAAAAGTGCCAACAATAGCAAGGCCCATTCTCCCCTAAGCAGATTGTACAACTCTCATGAAATTCATGCTGACACCATACCACTGATGACCCCAGTAGTTGAGTTGGTCACTAAGTATCCCTCTGAAAATGGAGGAATGGGATCAAACAGGTGGAACCACAGGCTTTCCATGATAAGTGGACTTCACATGCACCCACTCTGTCCTCCCTGAAACCCCCTGTAATGTGTATCATGTAATACCAAAAAAATGTTGCCATCATCCCAATATATGCTAAGCAAATATCCACACTCTCTTTCACAGTCAAATACAAAAAAGAAAAAAGAATGAAAAGGAACTTTGATAGGGCACTAAAACATCATCTTCCCTTTTTGTATGAGAGATAGCAGCTCGTGCCTCTCTATGGAATGCTTGTAAAGATATTGCATAAAGCTTATTAATAAAATTCATTTATCAAAAAAAAGCATCATCTTTCTCATCAACCTCAAGATGACTCCCAACATCAGCCTTACACTTAAATAGGTGCAATGGCAGCAAAATCAGCTTATAATCATTGGTACATGTGACTTACCTCAAACTCACATAGGAAATTAGTGAATAATTAGTGGCTTTGAAGATATTCCATAGTTTAAGAAACAAGTAGGTGCAGTGCCCATTTTATCATTACCATACTGAGAATGCTAGCCATGCCCTTTTCCAATGTGAAAGGTAACAGAACCATGATACTCAAGCTGCCTGAAAATCCACATGTTGGAACATCCTTCCTAAATGGGAGGAGAAGATGCAGGTGATTCAGTATTTCACTTGTATCTTATTGGCCTAATGGGTTAGCAGGAAAATGTCTTCTTCCAGAGGAAAACTAGTGGGGGCATAAGGCAGTTCTAGGTGGTAGATATGGTTTTGGGGTTAAATTACCAATTCAAGCATGCAAGACTACACAGAGATAGTGTCAGCACTAATAATCATGTAGTAACCATTTTAGTAATACAGAGAAACCTCATTTCGCTTATCTAAAATTAATATTAATCCTTCTTATGATTAGAAATTCTACTGTGATGGTTATCTTATAATTATTCATTATATTCATAAACTCTTTTTCATTTTGAGAAGTTTCAGTTTTGCACACTCTCCCACAGAAATATATGCAAGAATAACACTTGCTAGAGCAACCTCAGTCAAGGGCCTACAGTTAATCAGGGTGATTCTGTGGATGCCTGAGGATATTCAGAGAATGATCATGGTGAATCACTTTGGTCCTGGAAGATGCATTCTATGTTACAAGCTAATACAAAACATTTGAGCTACGATAAGAAACTCTCAATGTAAACACTCCTAGAAGAGCAAATGGACTAATGGAGTGGCTTATCACCTGTCTCAGTGGGCACACATATATAGAGGCACCATTGCTATTACTATATCATTCTTTCTGTGGCCCTCCAGATAGTTGAGGAATTAGCTACATAATTATTTTGGTATCCAGTATATTTCCATCTTATTTACACAATTACTATAGTATTTGAATAAATGCAGCTGAGAAACATGAATGAACATATTAAGAAAGACACAAAACCATCATTTATTATGTAGAATCAAATCATGAATACCAAGGAAGGTTTTGTGGTGCGGTTCCAAAAGGAATGGTAAAATGGCAAGGTATCCAATTGCTTGGTTGCAGCAGCAACAAGTCGAGGTTCATTTCCTCCTGCAAAAATCCCCAGAAATATATTATAAATGGACCCTAGGAATGTTTGTAAAAACATCCAAAAATAACTTAACGTGTATCCCAAGAAATAGAACCATCATTTTTTCCTGTATTTGTGCATGTGATTGGTACAAAACCACAATGGCACTAACAATCTTTTCCCAAAAGAACCTATGCAATAGAAGTAGAGGCAAATCTTTCTTCAATTCCTCTATCCCTAATTGATAGTTTCTAAATATGCAAATATAACAGTAGCTGGTATAGCATTCTAGATAATATTATTGAATCAAAGCAGTTTATTACCGTTTGTCAATCAAGACAATTGTCTATATAGAGAATTTGGGGTCCTCTTCTTTGCCATCATGATAAGCCAACAAAAGTAAATCGGCCTTGCACACTCATATAATATGGAATATTAACTAAAGGACCCATTCTACTATAAAGTCTGGGTGTGTCAAATGTTTACAAGGATTTGCTCGTGAGTGCAACCACTAAGTGTTTTTCACATTAAAATGGTAAAGGTATAGTTTCTTTGCATAAATTAATGTGCTATTCAAATAAAATCTACCAATAGGAAAATGAAAAGAGCCTAATAGAGAAATCTCAAGTAGAATATAGACAACTTTGAAAATTATCCTTCTTAAATACAAAATAGAAATGGTAAATGCTTCCTCTGCCAATTCTCCGGTTATTAATAAATAGCAATTGATATTGTTGTTCCTAAACTGTAATTATACATTTGAACTTCATGAGATGACTCTTTGATTGGATAATAAGAAACCAAGTAAAGCAATATCTAAAGAAAATTTTAAGTCAAAAAGTTAAAATTCAAATTTAGAAAGAAATTAACATGTGCAAATACTAGAAACAATAGCAATTTTAGCCCACAGAAAAGTATGAGCAGAAAGATGGATGGTAATTTGATAAAGAGTTAAAATGTCATTCTGAAAAGCAGTTAACATGCAGAGAAGTAGGAAAGCAGAAATAATAGCAATCTAGTCCCTCATAAAAGTATGGAAAAAAGAGAAACAGAGAAGGACTTATAAGTACCTAAGGCTGTGCACCATAGACCAGCAAGGGAATCAAGAAATTTATTTCCATTGATATCATACACATAACAACCCTGCACCCATTTTTTGAATAAAACAACAAATCATATATCTGAAATCATCAAATGGCTTTTGAACAGATGGCAGTGCTTAAAAATAAAATAAGATAACCAACATTGTTTCAGTTCTATCTCAGATTTAGGGTTAATAGAAAATAAAAATTGAAGGCATAGGATGCTTTTACAAAAGACTTGAATATGGATTATTTAACCTCAGATATAATTTTTCCAATTGAAAACATATCATAAAGAGTTATTTACCTCAGACTTTTCAATAACCAGAGGATGCAAATCATTGGACTGCCACCCCGCAGTGAATGGTGCCAGCATATCATGCCCCTTAAACCTGTTTTACTTAATATATTTTAGTAAATACGGAGAAATAAGAAACCCAACTCAACTAATACAAGCTTAAATCCAACTATTTGGGATTGGCTACACAAATCCTGTCACAACATTGAGCCCTAACAAGATTTCTTGTATTTTTAAGATAAAATAAGAAACCAATTATGGAAAAATAATGCATGCATCTGCTAATTACTTAAACAGGTTGTTATACATACACTATTCAGTAACATAACTAAATAGATCCAGTGTAATGTGCATCCAAGTGTATGTGTGTACATGTATTTTTACAAGCACAGCCAAAAACCAAGAGGGGTGAAGGCATCAAAAAGTAATCAAATCATGGAGCAAAAGGAAACATTGCATACCCCTTCCCATCCTTTAATTCAGGTGTTTGACCTTCCTTCTGAAGAGATGCCTCTGTACTGTTCCATCTAGCAAGTTTAGGAGTCCACAAAAATTGCTCCTGGAAACTTCCAGATGCTGAAACCTGTCTTAGAATCCCACCAGCCTGGAAAAGAGCAAGAAGAAAATAATAAAAGATCATGAGATAACAAGCATTGCAGCATTGGACTACATTATACAACTGAAGAATGGTCTAGATTTACAACTTAAGTATAGTCTAGACAAGAGGAATCATGGACCTTTTTGAATATTTATGCAAGTGTTCAAGTTTTTAAACATTTGCATATCTAGATTCTAGAAAAGTTTTACATAATTTGAACTAATAGAAATGCATATATTAGAGTACTCTGAAGCAATTGTAAAGACCGAAGCTACAAGGAAAACCATTTTTCCGCATGAATAGCTCTCTTAGGAGACATATTGGTAGTTTTTCCTGTTCCAACGTGTCATGCATAACTTTTGTCATTTGTTTCCCTTTCTCGCTGCTATTGTATGGACGTCAATGTGAATTGTAATTTCCATGGGCCTCATGCATGACAACTGATGCCAAGGACAAAATAATTTGTGTACAACAAAGTCTGTGCAATAAACTCTGTTTAAAAAAAAAAACCTGATTATGCAAATCAGATACATACTCAACATTGCAATCCAAAATTGTTTACCAATTTCCGTACTAAAGAAAACTACTGCTTACAATAAAAAAAAAAAAAAGTAATCATATCACTAAAACCATGTCGGAAGATGACAAAAAAAGCAAATAAATCAACCAGAAAAATGTACATGAAGAATCCACTGAGGAAGGAGAAAAGGGGGAAAGGCTTTTATCTTGAAATGGGTGCAGGCAGGTTCTAACCAGGCTAATACCAACCAGACGGCTGCTTATAAAGAAGCATCTCAGGAAGATTAATAGTTTGCTGCTTGCACTCGAAAGTCTAAACCAACAATGCAGACCACCAAAACATTGTGTTCATGGCAATTGCCAAGATAAGCCACTCAATTAGTAAATGTTTGACAGGGCATGGAATAAAAAATGAAACAGACGATGAGGAAGAAAAAAACAAGAAAACAAAAGCAAAAGATCCACCTGACTCTCTACACTTATTAGTTTAGAAAAAAATATATCAAAAGGTTAAGACTTATGAAGTTGCTCCGATCCGGATCGTGCCCAATTAAGAGGAAGGCCACCAGTTAACTGACTGAACATAGGATTTGGAGAGCCATTCATATTGTACAATCTTGTCAGATGTCGTCCCAGTGTTCCTCATTAGCAATCATTTATTTTCTCAAGAGTCCAAAAATAACTCAAACCATGAATCAATCTAAATATAAAATAAAACCGAAGCAGCAAACAAAAATATATAAAGTCCGTTAACTACAGAGTACAGGCCACATTAAATATTCTTTCAAGGGAGTAGAATATTGTGCTACCATGCTAAAACTGTACCATCAAATATCAACAGAAATGTAGACACAAATCAACCAAATGATTGAAACCAACAAAAAATATGAAAATATTGATGGGTTAGAAAGATCAAAACAGGATTCCCAGTGAAAAACCATGGACGAACTACCAATTTCCGAAGCAGAAACCACAAAATATCCAACAGTCCAAGTAGCAAAATACAAAGGAGAGAAAAACAAGATGAACCAAAGAATGGGTCTGCAGGATTGGAACCTTTGAAGTGAAACCAGATCGAAGGAGATGGTTGATCGTCATCTTTCGCCTCTCAGCAATGCAAGTTCCTACAGGGAGTGCAGACGGCCATCATTTTCTCCTTATAAAAAACAAACTCTTAACAAACTTGGTAGCTTGTCAACATTCATTGGACGAGAATACCCTTCTTCTGTTTCCAAAAAATCCGAAAGACTTTCAGGGTCCACCACGCTCATATTCCACCATCAATGGGGCCAAAACGAGAAAATAATAATATCCAGACAGAAAGAGCCCATGAATCTATTCATTGCATCAGAGCTCAGAATAATTTGGTACAAGGCCACCCTAATAATATTCTCAAGGGATGATCATGTTGACATTCAAGGGTAAATTTGGGAACAAGAATATTAGATTTATCATCCCTTTGATTTATCTGAAACCCTTTGGATTTGAACATTCAACAAGGATTTGTTATTTGGTTTGAAGGAAAAGGTGAGGAAAAGAAAGAAAAAGTAGAGAAACCCATATGAAGTTTGTAAAGCTTTTCCTACTTTTTCCTTCAAACCAAACACATCCTGAAGGAATCAGCACTGAGGAAGGTGTGACATTTCTCTCTGGCTTCTCTCTCATCTCTTGTTTTGCTGTGGTGGATCCTAGTCAGCTTATCACTAAAAGAGTGGGTTAAAGTTTGGATTGGACTGGATCCAAGACAAAATAAAAGTGCGAATTTGATTCTTTGGGTGCAGAGGATCTGTTCAGTCAATTGGGTAACGTTTTGTTTCATGCATTGATTGTGGGGCCTCGGAAACACTTCCAAATAATCTGGTAGAAGTATAATAATTGCAGCAGCAAATTTCTCAAATCCTATTGGTAAGTACATGCCAAGCGTCTGATTGGAATCCGAGGAGATGGCTGCCGATACACGTAACGATTGTTTATGTTTGGCAAGGGGCTAAGGGCTGACGTGTATCGGTGTATGAAGCCAATGACGTATTGGAAATTGCTTTGTCTTTTTTACTGGATAAAATGATTAAATATTTATATGTATAATAAATAACCCAATTTCAGTTTCAGGCTTTCAGCCATTAAAGAGCTTAAAAACCTTCTTGATAACTTATTCGCTAAAAAACAATGAAATAAGCCATTCAGTTCGGCTACTTTAGGGTAGGAAATGGTTTAGAGTTGTCTTCCCACGTGACCACGGATTCAGTCCTCAAAAGGCCTTGTATACATCGTTTTCACGGCCATTCGCAGGTATACATTGGCAATCTCCCATGAATATAAGTACGAAGATATTTCCAATACACGGTTGGAAGTCGGTATGAATATGGTATGAATACACTCGTGAGGATTGAATTCGGTGTCCCTCACAGTACATTTCTGCGTGAAGTGGGAATACCAAATATCTCCCTTTTTTGTCACGAAGAAATGTTTTGATGTGTTGTGGAGCACGCTTTATATAGAGACAATACGTGATTTGAACATGCATCAATTTGGACGAAGCCAAGGCGGGAAGCATGGAGTCGTGCACCAAGGGGATCTATAAGCAAAGAGGAAGTCAGAGGCCCATGGATGAGGTCCCCAACCCCAAGAAAGGCAATCTCGCTCAAGTCAGTAGCAAGGTGATAAGGATGGTAAGGTCGAGTTGTTGAGGACGAACTGGTCCGAGCCGAGGAGGAAGTATGAGAACCAAGAGAACGAGTGAGAGAGGTAAAAGATGCTTGACCTTAGGGGGAGATACCTTTAAATAGCAATGTGTCATAATTCAATGGGATGCTCCTTGTGTGTTATGGCACGAAGTGTGTTGGAGCTTATCCGCCCAAGGTCTTCGTGAGGCTGCTTGATCACATACTTGATGCTGACCCAGTGCTGCTAACGTGGCCAAGATCAACGGATATGGCATCTACGTGGTGAATACGAATGGCTAGGATATGGCCCCAACACCATGACTTGGCCTGGAAAATCTAGGGTTGTTGGTGTTGCACCTAAGGTCCGAGGCGATATGACTGCCAAAACGGTGCAATTGCGAGTGAGTGTCATGGGTTCGGCTCCGACCATAAGCCTGAACTGTCTTCGGCAGCGTCATGGTTGCTCACGCTTGACTTTAGGATTCGATAAGTCTCCTGGGCGCCCTTTGGGGTCATTGGCTCGAGGATCAACCATAGTGAGCACTTAAACTGGGGGCAATGCGGTCATTGGGGCGCGTCTAGAGTCTCCAGACTATCTTAATGCTTCCATCATCACGATGAGCCAATCGATCGTCTCCTGCAGAGCAGCAAACTCTTTGGGGTTCACTTGTTTCAATCGTCACAGCTCACGAAGAGGAGAGGTACAGCAGGAGTGGACCCCCGTGATGGGGACTAAGTGCCATAGCAGTCAAAGGTGTTCTTAGGAGGCATGATCACTTTAATGCATGAGGAGAGAGAAAGAAATCAAAGGCTTTTCGTACCAATTCCCACAGGCAGCGTCAATCTGATTTTGTTCTATCGACATGATCTGAACACGCAATAGATAGTCCTGCCAACTTGGATGAAGCCGAGGTAGAAAGACAGGGTCATACACCGAGGGGATCTGTAAGCAAAGAGGAAGTCAGACGCCTAAGGATGAGGTCTCCAAGAAAGGCATTATGATGCTCAAGTTAGTAACCGAGTGATAAGGTCGGTCAAGCCAAGCTATTGAGAACAGGCTGGTCCGAGCCGAGAAGGAAGTATGGGAGCCAAGAGAACGAGTGAAAAAGGCAAGGTTTAAAATTTTGATACGATACGCCTGATAAGGGGCATATTATATCGTATCTTTGAAAAACAGATACGGGATACACATGGAAATTGAACGTCTCATCTTTTTTTCATGTGTATCGGACCCGTATCAGGGCGTATTGGTAGCATATCAACGAACAAGATACGATCAAAAACTGAAAATAAAAATAAAGAGGAAAAGCAAGCTTCTTTTCCCTAAAACAAGCCTTCTTTTACACCCCCCCTCCCAAATGACTCTAAAACTCAAAACCCCATTCCTAGAGTGCTAAACTTGCAAAAATTTGCAAGAAACAAATGTGAATTGTTAATTTTTTTGAAAAATATGGCAAAAATAGGTAAGTTTTTTTCAATTTTTATAATATATTGTGATTTCTTTTTTTCTTGAATGTTTAAATTTATGTTGATCTACATTTCTTACATTCAAAATCATAATTTTTTTTTGTGTTATTAATAAATTTATGGAAATTTCATGAAGTCATTTGGGAAAAATATAAATTAATAAAATATTTGAAAATGTAATTTTTCTCTACCTATAAAGACTAAATATGTTTTAGATCTATGGATTTATCTACCATATCCATAGAGCAATTGAAATTTCTTCTTTAGAATTTTTTTGATTTTTTATATTTTTAGAATTAAAAATTAAATAATAATTAATTATATTTTATCATTTGATCACAACAATTGAATATATTATAATTCTATGGATGAT